AGTGCAATAGCTCAGCTTTGTAGCTTGTCTTTTATGTGAAGTTTTGATCTGGGAGCCTTGGCTTTCCTGTTGGCTAGAGACATCAAAACAGATGTTTGGTATTGAGGAGGCACTAGCCCCCTGCTGGCACCCTGACTCTTCAGAGCAACATTTGTCCTAATGTTCAGCCCTAAAGTCCCTGATTCAGAGAAAGCCCGGGCTGTTGTCTCACACCAAACTTTTTTAGTTTGGATTAGACTTTGGCCACATATATCAGCATCTCAGTTTTATAAGGTCTTAAGTCATGTGGAGGTTGGAAGGATGAAAGGAATCTGGAGAAGAAGTTGATGTGGTACCAAAGGCAGAGTATGCATTACAGCTGTTTTGGAGGCAAGCACTGCTAACCCAGAATGTAATCACATAGTATTTATATTTTTCTTTTATCACCAAAATATATTTGTATGGATAGACATAGTGGTGCATGCCTGTAATCTCAGCTAGGCAAGAGATGGAGAGAAAAATTATTATTATTATTATTGGAGGCCAGTTGATACATAAAGATAATGAGACCTCCATTTTGACCAATAATCTGTGTGACATTAACTGTCTGTTATTCTAATATATGAGAGATATGAAGTCCCAGGCCAGCTTGAGCAAATAGCTGATGACACTATATGAAAAATAACTATGCCAATAAAGGGTGGGAGGGAGACAAGAGGCATGCCTCAAGTGGTAGAATGCCTGCTTAGCAAACCCTAGCAAAAGTTGCAATAGACATTTCAATCATCCATCAATATGGTGGCTTGGAAATTAACTTGACATTTTAAAACTCACTTTTGACTTCTTTTAACACGTATTTATTAAGCAAGGGCTACATACCAGGTAAAGTCTCAGCAACAGGATATACAATGGTATAACACAAGGTAGTCTACAGTGTTCTTTATTTCTTTTTCCTGGTAACCGAGACTGAAGAGGGCACTTGTGTATCTGACCTTGATCCAGTAATTATTATTACTATTGCTAGAATCTTGAGCCTTACACATACTAGGTAAACACTACCATGAACCTACATCTCTACCCTAAACAAGTACTCCATAGATCCCTACACAGATGGTACATTAGAATGAGGTGCAGAATAACCACACATAATACATGCACATGGATACACACACAAACATATGCACAAGCACATATGCATACACATGCACATACACATCTTCTTCTGTCTCTAAATCACCTTCTCAGCCATGAAATTGCAAAGCAGCCAGCAAACCTTTTTCTCCTCTAGCATTTTGGAGCCACCTTTCCCATGACCTGAGCACACGGGGCTCCTCCACTGCCTCCTAGCTTACATTCTCTATTGCATTTGGTGCATTTGACCCCTCCTTCCTTCCCAAGACACATGTTTTCCTTGTACTGACAAAACAGTCCTCTTGAGATCCCTCTTTCCTTCCTGGTTCTCCTTGAGCTATCTTTGCAAACTCATTTTCTCTTGGAACACTTAAATGCTGACGTTGTTTAAATTCCAAAACTGGACTCTTTTTTAAAATACTGATTATAGACATTCTTGTCTGCTTTCATCTCTGCAAATTACATATTTTTACTATCACTTTCTAATTTCTATTCCCAATTCCATCTCCTGAGGACCAACGTAATGTATCCAACTCTTTATTTTATTTTATTTGTTTCCCTTCTCATCCCTTCCACTCTTCTCCACTACCCTCCTCCCCCTGCACCAAAGTTGTAAAGTTTGTTTTTCGACATAACATCTTGTACATCTCATTGTTGCAATGGGTCTGCCTGTATCCCTATTTAAGCAATTTGTTTTTATCCCTTCCCCTTCACAAAGTATACCAACATCAAATGCAGTGAAAACAAGGGTTATACCATGGGGGAAGGACATACAAAGCAACAAAGAAATCATATTATAAAACGTTAGAAACAATCTCAAGAAAAAAAACCATTTGAGTGCTTATCTTGGGGTTCATTTCACCTAATATCAACTTATCTGACCATTTCTGCTTGTCTCAGACATATACTATTTATTTTAAATAAGGGAAACCATGGGACCTATGTTTATTGCAGTATTATTTACCATAGCTAATATATGGAACCAGCCCAGATGTCCCTCAGTAGATGAATGGATCAAGAAAATGTGGTGTATATATACACAATGGAATTCTATGCCTCCATCAGAAAGAATAACATTGCCCCATTTGTTAGGAAATGGAAAGACTTGGAAAAAATTATATTAAGTGAAGTAAGCCAGACCTAAAGAAACATAGGTCCAATGTATCCAACTTTTCTTGGCATTTCTACTTAGAGATCTCATAGGCTTTTCTGAGCAACATATCTAATACCTGTATTTTCATTTTCCTTTCTTGCTACTGGACTAGTTTCTAGTCTCCCCAGTTCAGTAAATCAATATCACTTGTCCAGTGGCTTATTGCAAAAATCACATGCAATCCATTCAATCTAACTAAAGTCCTGTTTACAAAAATAGAATTCAGCTTCTCCATTTTGTGACATCCATTGCTTTGCTCTCCTTTGGATTGCTGCAAAAGCCCCCTGATTATCTCCTCATCACCTCCCCAGTTCCACTCTTGCTCTCCATTTCTGTCACAAAGATCTAGTCCTCATACACAGATCATTTTCCGCCTCAGCTTCCTTCACAACTTCTGCTAGTGCCATGATGCAACAGTTAGATTCTATCTGATATGCTCTGGTTTTCCCTCAAGTGGGATCTTCCATTTTGCAATCATGGAGTAAATGATCTGCTTATCTGCCACGAGGCAGTCTTCTCCAGCTCAATTGTAAATTGTATAAAGGTAGAAACTGGGGCTGTATTTTCCAACACTTCATACATTTTGTTTGGAATTGTGCTTGGCATACAAAGACCTGGGGTGCTGAATAAAAGAGTGAGCCTTTGTGTGAAAGACAGACATGGCCCAAAACATGAGGTGAAAATGTGTTCCTCACATCTTATTTCCAGAATCTCTGCTCCAGGCTCAGCCACTCCATGAACAAATGCGCAGAGGAAGGAGCTGGACCGAATCCTTTCATGCAGTTGTTTCTCATTGTGTCCTTGAGTCCTAGCTTCAAATTCTGAGGAATTTTCAAGGACTCAGTCATCTGCCTGGTGGATTTCACAGGCTGTCAGAAATAGCCCACCAAATAGAACTCTCTAATAGCTCATAGTATGGTGCACCTGAAAGGGCCTTAAGCTGTCAATTAAGTGATTTCTAGGGTTCAGCCCCCCTGTTTCTGCATAAGCATTATTCAGGAAGCCATTGCTACATGGCTTCTTTGTGTCACTACTTCTCAATATGTCAGCCACTCAGCACAGCACCTGGCACAGAGAGACAATGTTTCAGTCTTACTTTCTCCTTTCTTCCAAGAACTCTTCTTCCTGATTGTCCTACTTTTTTGTTGTATGCTTCCTGCCTTACTGTCTTTCTTTGTTGCTATTGTTTGTGTTGTTATGAAGGCTTGAACTTAGGGCCTAGCCATGGTCCTTTAGCCTTATACTCACAGCTCATACTCTGTCATTTGAGCCAGACTTCAACCTTGAGCTTTTTGGTGGCTAATTGAAGGTAAGAGTCTCATGCATTTTCCTGCCTGGGATAGCTTTGAACTGTAATCCTCAGATCTCAGCTGTGTAAATAGGATAAAAGCCACGAGCCGTAAGTGCCTGTCTCTTATTGGTTTGAGTGCATGATCATAATATGTTACCCATTTAGTCGAAAGTATGTCAAAAGGGAGGATTAGCCGTACTCACAGAACGTACTTCCTTTTGGATTAGAAACCAACTTCACAGCTTCTTTGCTCAGCGTCTTCAGAGCATTTATGGTCATTGCTGTGTAACAAGTTCATTTTATGATAACACGCTGGGAAGAAGAGGAAGACGATAGAACGAGAGGGGAAAAAATGAAAACATTAAAAGAAACAACTTAGTAATTGAACTCCTTTGCACTCTTCTGTAGTTATTATGGTGAGAGTAGGTCCTAGAACAGGCTAGTAGTCTGCTTGATGGCTCATCTGGAATCTTCTAAATGAGATCTGTGTGAAAATGCAGAGAGAAACCTAAGAGATTCATGGGGTAAGCTTCAGAAGAGCCTGGATAAGTTGCCTTCAGACTCTTCTCTATCATTTGTATTTTAAATATTTCTGGCATCTGTTATTGCTGCTAGCAAATCCTGGACTAGCATCAACTCGCATAAGAACACACAGAATTCCTATCTCATTGACTCAATATTATTATTTCTTTGGACTCATGATACATACACACTTCCAGGAGCATGGGGACAGAGCAATACAAGCAACTCCTTTACCCTCTCCAATAAGAGTCAAATAAACAAAGAAACAAAATGGGTTTTTGTTTTTTTTTATTTTTAATAGCTTCAGTATTTATCCATTTACTCACTCTTACTCATAGCTCATTAAAGACTTCCAATAGTCTATTTGTGATGTCATCCTCAGGAGAAACAAAGGAGAAATGGGTGTGGTAATCAAGTGGGGCTGAGTTCAAATCCTGGCATCCACAGTCTGTTCATTTCTGCAGTCCTCTTGCGTTAATTGGCATCACAGGAGTTAATGGTGATAACTGTAATTCAAGGTCTTCTCATGCTTTAATTTGTATCTGTTTTTAGAGATTTTCTTAAATTTACATATCAACTTAAAAAAAATAACTCTCCAGAATTTTGTTTCTTCAGGCTTCTGGGATATCCATCAAAACAAGAATAGGAGATTTAAACAATATATTGCCTTTCTCACCAAAGTAGTCTAAAGCAGGTAGCTGTTTTATGTGTCCAAAGCACTCTCCAGGAAATAAGTTACTACTTATCTGTTTGGATATATTATGCTGACTTCCAAAGCACTGAGAACAACTGATTTCAAAGCCTTGTGTTCAACTGGGTACCATTCATAAGAAATGAATGCAATCTGAGCATAAACCTGCCTTCATCAATATGATAGAGAGATGTATCCTGTGAGTACCAATGAAGTGTTTTGTGTTTTTGCAGGTTATGGATTTGTAGATTTTGACAGTCCTGCAGCAGCCCAGAAAGCTGTAGCCTCCCTCAAAGCAAATGGTGTGCAGGCTCAAATGGCCAAGGTAAGACTGCAGAGATGTGTGTGTGTGTGTGTGTGTGTGTGTGTGTTATTAAAAGTCTCTCTTTTGCTGTGGACTGACTCAAATGATGGCATTTGCAACAACTTGGTTTATAGAAACTGGTTAGGAAAATAAATTCCCATAGGCTTGGCTTGGAATAATTTGGCTGACTTATTTTATTATTTCTTGGTATGTATTTACTAATGTGCTCTTTCATTGGAGTATCATCATTGGTGATTAAAGACGCTTGTGAAGTGTTCTGTTTTGCCTGAGAAAGGAGATATGTGTGTATGCATGCCAGCTAAGGACTTTCACTGAGAAACAGTTGTGGAATATTACAATTACCAGCAATTTGTCTTTGATGAACATGTGTGCTATAAATGTGCTCATTCTCATTCTTTTGTTTGGGTGAGCTGATTGATGGATGATGTAGATGTCTGATCTGAACAAAGAAATGAGTTTGCTGAAAGGTATCCTGCCTAGATCACTGGAATTTCACATTAGCCTGTATGCCTTGAGTTTTCTGTGATAAGACTACTTCTCAATATTCAGGTATTATTATATGGAATAAGTTGTCTGGAACCTTCTGAAATTGTAACAAAACTTTCTCCCAGAGACAACACATAAAATAATCTACATCTATATCTTGATTGTAGCAGAGCTTCAAAGAATCTACACAGTTGATAAAATAACATAGTCTTTGTGGACACAGTGCACTGGTGTTGACGTCCTGGTTTTTTTGTGCTACTATTATTACTAAACTGGTTGTGATGTAATCTTTGAGGAAACAGTAAAGGTTACATGGGACATTTCTCTATTGTCTTTGCAACTTCCTATGGGTGTATATACATTTGTCTGCTCTATAGGCATTTATATTAAAGTCATAGTCATTTGGTATTTATTTACATGCAACCCAATATTGACAGAGTTCTTTCTAATTAAAAGGACTGGATTTAGTTTACCTCCAGGTTCTCCAAAGTTGAGGTATAATAGGTGACAGATTTGAAACCTTTGAGCAATGCATTCCGTTTGAGTCAAGTTCTGAGGTACAATGGCTGGGAATTCCTCTCATGGAGCTGATGAGATTGTGGAGAAGGAATGGAATTTTCAGGATGATTGCTAACATTGTCTGATAACATTTTCCAATTTTCAATCGCAGAATTCTAGAGGTGGGATATTTGGTTCCTAGTGATTGCAGCTGTTTTCTGGCAACTGGGTGCAGCCTCTTGAGTCACTTCCTTTTGTGGGCTCATTGTCCTTTATGACATTTTAATTGTTATCAAGGTGAGACCAATTAGAATTTGAGTTCTTTCAACTGTGTAATGATATTCTTCATCAGGCTTATGCATAGAAGCTTTGGATTTGGTCATGAGCAAAGATGGATGAAGTTAATATTTCTAATTAATTAGGAAATTACATTCATGTCTCAGTTTAAAGGTTACTTGGCAAAGAATCAATGAAGCAATTTTCTTTACCCAGAAAACAAAGGATAAAGTAGAATTCTTAGTTGTAGGCAAAGTGTACTTGGATTTGAATGGAAAACAAGAAAATGATTATACAAATGATTCAGAAGTTGCTTTTAGAAGATCTTTGACCTAGTGTATTAGTAAAAGCTGAATTTTGGAAGTTTCTACATTGTGCAGTTTAGAAATGATATCATTTGCATGAATTCTATTGTTTCAAGCATATATATGTATATGATACATTGTATATGCATATGCTTATGTATGTATATATACAGTAAGTTAAGTTGAGGAAACATGAAAAGAAAGTTGAGCTTATAACTACTTAAGAGCCATTGTGAATAGAATATTTTCCTTCTAACATTCCAGTACACAGGAATCACTCTTTCTTTCTTTCTCTCTCATTCACTGGGCTTTGAACTCAAGGCCTGGGTGCTATCCCTTAGATTTTCTAGGCTGAACTCTACCAGCAGAGCCATAGTTCCACTTCTCCACTTTTACCGATTAGCTGGAGATGAGTCTCTGAGATTTGTCCTCATGGGCTAGGTTCAAACTATGAGTTCAGATCTCAGCCTCCTGAGGAGCTAGGATTATAAGCATGAGCCGTCAGAGCCCAGCCAAAAGGACATTTTTTTTTTGTCTTTTCTTTTTTGGTACTGGGGATCGAACCCAGGATGTTGCACTTGCTAGGCAAGCACTTTGCCACTGAGTTACATCCCAGCCCCAAAAGGACATTATTTTAAAGAGCTTCAGAAATGTGTAAATATTTATCCTGGCCAGGATTCTGGTCCTTTATCCAAACTTAAGTACACAGTAAGGTGATTCTATCTTTCATACTGAAGGTCACATTATTGCCAAAGTTGTTCAGAGATTTTATATTATCATTTGTGTGATCTGAGAAGTAAAATCGTAACTCTTTTTCTCATAAAGTTTGAACCCAAAGCCTTTGGGAAGCACGTATCTGCCTACCAGAAAACGTCAATAATAAATGACTTGGTAATTTAACTACCCAGAAGCAAATATATAGCCTTCCTTTACGTAGCAATGGAACAAGCTTGACCACCTGCATTGGTGGGTTTCTCACTGAGCTATTGGATGTCCTTTGATCTGGTGATAGCTGTTATTTATTATCATATAAACCTGAAGTCTACAGGACGTATGAAACTTGTACTATATATTTTTGCTATTTAAGTATCCACTGGGCCATCTTCTGAATCCTCATTCTTATCAGCATCCTACTATGCATGCTGTGGTATCCAATTTTAAAGACTCCAGTATTTTAAAATAAAAAAAAACCCACAAATAATCAAGATTTCTGATACCAAGCTGGAGCTAACCTGAAACTCTCCATGTGAATTATTTATTCTTTAGCTAACATCTTCCAATGTGTGCATGTGAAAACTAACTGACATAACAATCAAAAGGAATTTCATCACAGATTATCCAGGAAGTGGCTTTCACCTGACAATATCCATTGTTGCTGGGCCCAAGTGTCTCACACAAGGGGTTCTGTGGCTCATATGGTAGACTTCCATTCTTGAGTAAAAAGCCAAGTGAGAACATGAGAACCTGAGTTCAAGCCCAGTACACACACACACACACACACACACACACACACACACACACATCATCATCATCATCATCAAAAGCCTTTAATGCAGAGTCACATTTTCATTTTTTATATGCTTGCTCACTAAGCGTCTTCTGGGAAGAATAATGCTTCTTTTGAAAATGCAGATTTAGGATATTTTCCTAAAGCATGCTGAATAAGAACATTGTTTTGGAAAAAAATAATCTTGGTTTTGAATCCTCCTTCTGGTAATACCTGGCTGTATGGCTTTGGCTATGTTATTTAACTAACTCTGAAATTCTCTAATAATGATTTAGGCTATAGGCTTATTGGAGGAAGTTTTCAAAATGCTAAAAACAAATGGCATAGTGCCCAGGTTATAGTAAGAATTTAGTAAATGATAATAACAACAAATATTATGCATTAAATTTGAATTTGTTTCTAGACCTTTTGTAAATCCACGTATATTTTAAATATTGTGTTATTACAAACTAAACTATTAAAAATATGTTAAAGCTTCATCTGAAAATGTTTTTATTGTTTAACTATTTGCCAGACACCATGTTGTGTATTAAAGAAATAATATTGATAAAATCTGATTCTTGTTCTGAATTCAAATTTTTTAATTATTATTGTGTGTGTGTGTGTGTGTGTGTGTGTGTGTGTGTGTGTGTGTGTGTGTGTATGTGCAGGTACCAGGGCTTGATTTTGGAGCCTGGGCTCCAAAATGTGTTTGCCAAAGCAAACACTTCTCCACTTGAGTCAGACATCCATTTCAGCTTTTTTTTGTGATTAATTGGAGATAAGAATCTTTGGACTTTCCTGCCCCAGCTGGCTTAGAACCACAATCCTTAGATCTCAACATCTTGAATAGCTAGAATTACAGTAATGAGCCACTGTCCTGCTGCTCCATAAATTCTGAATTTTTCACATTTACTCTATTTCCAATACAGCTATCATTCTTCATTGAGAATGTAAAGTATTGCTATTCTTAATAATGTCAAGGTTTATAAAAGAAAGTTATTGGTCCTGAAATATGTCAAAGAATCTAGGGAGAGAAAAGTGAGGAAAGCCTAGCTAACATTAACTTTCTTTAGGGGAGTTCATTGGCATCATCTTCTAAGAAGTCTCCTGAGAGACAGGAAAGAACAAACAAACACATTGGACATTTATGGCAAGACATTCATACATTTAGTTACACAATCATAATCCTCCTGACTATGTCATGAAGCGGACTCTTGGCCTCTCTTGTTGAGGGCACTCTTGGAGACTGACTTCTCATCTACTGTTAGAGTATCTAGAAGCTTGTTACATACTGAGCACCTGGCAAGTCTTGTGTATCTTTAACTAGCTTTCTCATCAGTTCCAGATTCAAGTAAACATCACATCGCTTCCTTCAGATGAAACACCTTTAGAGAAAGATTCAGCCCTTCTCATGCCCTTGAAATATGGTATCGTGTAGGACTGTTATTCCAGTTCCAGAGGAGGGCTAACATCCTCATGTAATATGTAAAATAATTCAGAGCTGAGGGACTACACAAGTTCTTCAAAATTTAAGCTGAAAGTCTTTTATAACTACTTAATGATAATTTAACATTAAAAAATAAAAATTAAAAACGTAAAAATCAACTTAGCTGATCACCTCCACTTCGAATATATGTGCCAGAGTATTTGAACACAGTGATGTTAAAATATCCTCTTTTTTCCCTGGGAGGGGATGGCTTGCACTTGTTATTATAGCTATTCAGGAGACTGGGATCTGGCTTGAAGCCAGCCTGGGAAGGAAAGTCCAAGAGATTTTTAACTCCAATGAACCACCAAAAAAGCCAGAAGTGGAGCTGTGGCTCAAGTGTTAAAAGATTAGCATTGAGTATAAAAGCTCTAAGGACAGTGCTCAAGCAAAGATTTCAAGCCCTAGGACAAGATGGGTTAAAACAAGAAAAGTTATCTTTTACCTTTTGCTCTTCAGC